ATCAGTGCCCAGCAGATGCTACCTTGTAAGTGTTATTCAGGAGCCTTATTCATGTCCTCATTTGTGCCTTTCCATCTTGTCTTCATGTGCTCTGCTCACCTATTGGATGTTTTGGCAGGTGTGAATTATTCCCACCTACTGCCTAGCCATGTCCACCCAGCTCCAAATGGAAAGCTGGCACTCATAACCCTTTTTTCACTGCTCAATTCCCTGTTTGGTGTTTTGATGTTTCATTATGCTTACCAGTCTGCCATGGGAATTTCAGAAAACATCTCATCTTGGCTTTCACTATAAACAAACTGAAGTTAAAAGCATAGATTACTTTGACCTGCTTTCTGCTTCTGCCACTGGAAGTGGATTTTTATGCTTTGGTATAATCTTCTTTCGGGGGAGGTTGCCTCTGCTTCCCGTGATTCTGTGCCCTTTGGCAGAGATACAGACTGAGTCAGCACTGCTGCTTTTCAGCTCAGGGCTCTCTGGTGGGTGACCAAATACCAGTGCTGAGTTGCCTGCACATTGTAGGATTTGGGTTTTTAATGCAAGATTTTGCCTTAAAATGGTGACTTTTTGTGTCATCGTTCTTTAGTGAATGAGGCAAACATTAGTAAATGTGTCATAACGCACGATCTCACAGGTCACGGCTGTATGAGCTGCATGTCAAGGCACAATTTGGCCTTTAAATGTACAAACATCTGAAATGCAATGCAGATGAGGAAAAGGGCAATTGCAAAGGAAAGAGATAATGCATTCATTTTGTTAAAGCAGTGATGACTGGCAGAACCTTAGAAAACAACAATTTCCCCACGCTTATTGCCTTGCTTAAATCTCTACTAGATTGGGCTTCAGTGACAAGGATAGGGAGTCTTGGAACTCCAGTTGCAGGAAGAAAGGTATTCTTATAGAACTTGGCTTGCTTTTGAGATATACCTAATAAAAGAAACACACTAAAACAGAGTTTTAAAAAGAAGAAGAGAAAAGTAAAACAGAAATTCGATTGTTATAGACAACCCCAAAAATGCAGGTTACTGATGAGGAAAATACTTACATTTTGAATACCTATTCAAATTTTGGATACTATGTATATTCCTGTGAAGGTTGCAGAAGATTATGCTCAGATTTCACATGTAATACGTTTTCACAGTTTACATACATCTGACATAGATCATTTAAATCTTGCAGGAACTGGTTACCATGGGTTAAAAGATCAAACCTCTAGGAGATAATATATTCTGCCTCAAAATCCTAGATGTCATAAAGAGACAGGAAAATATGAATCTAAAGATGAAGTTTCCAGCCATTTCCAGACCCTGAAGTAATATTTGATTCAGTTCTACTGTTCAACATGGATAAAAGTTGAAGATGGCATTTATAATTTTAGATAGATTCAGACATTTACAAAGGTTTTGATATAGGTAACTACTCACCTGAAATGTAAAAACAGTAACTCCCATGAAAAATTTGTCTGATCATTATAATGGAGAAAAAAATTGAAACTGACACTGTTAAATATTTAATGGCATCAGTTACAGTATGGTAGCCAGCATGTCAAAACCATTAAAACAGGACTGTGCAAACATTTTAATTTATAAAAAACAAAAGAGAGTAAACACTCTGCCAAGTTTCAAGGATATTTGAGACCCCCCAGTGAGTGACAATTGTGCCTGCATCTATATTGCATGTGAAAACATAAAAAACCCTAATATTTACCCAAATTTTGGGTCACTTTTTTTTCTGTGAAAATGTCTAAAATAGCAAACAAATAAAAAAAAACACTAGACTATCATAAAGGTCTGGTGTTATTTCAGAGTGTACAGTCATTTAGATGGAAAAGTTTCATTCTTTCCAAAAAAAAGATAAAATAAATCATTAAAAAATATTAAATTATTAGTTTTATGTTCATTTCAGTACCTGAGAAAATAGAATTTTACAGAAATTTGATCTTTATAATTACTTTTATAATTAATAAGATTTATATTTTTAAGTATATACCCGATGCATGCAGTTGCATCAGAAATGCGTTCAATGGCTGTAGTTCTAGCTGGTATCAGTATCTCACCTTATGTAGTGCTGCAAAATTAAAATGAAATTAATAATGAGCTACAAAAAATCATCAAAGCAAGACAGAAGTGGCCAGGTTTCAGTGGAAATAATACATATAAAAAGGATTTAAGGCAAAAATTTAAATTAATAAAAAACAGATTGCAGCTAGCATCACACTAAAATTCTTGTTTATTGTATCTGGAGTCCTTCAGTTTTCCATTAGAAAACACAAGTAGAAAAAATTTATTACACTGGAAGGAAAGAAACATTAGTAGAAACTCTTGCTGAAAGATGTGTTTGCTCATTTTATCCCATATTTGACAAAGCATTCAAATAGAAATTAAGAGGGGATTATATACACTTAGCTTCTTTCAGAGAAAAATAATATCTGGCAGCAGCAGGGATGAACACCAAGGAGGCTTGGAGTGAGGCCAGGAGCTGCCCAGGGTCCCTACAAATTTGTCATACAGCTTCAAACAGGTGAGTTTCTTGCTTTTCCAAACCTACTGCTTCATGAATGTCAAAGAACTTTTAATATCTTGATGAAACACTGCTGTATATCTTGTTGGTAATGCTACTAATATCTTTAGTTAATACAATGATAAATGATCTAAAATATGTCAGATAAAAAAGTAATTTCAAGGTGTCCTTTCTTAAAAGAAATGTGACTTCAGAACCTTAGGTAGAAACAAAAGAATTGACTGGCATTTTTGTGCCTGTTGAACACATCCATAACTTGTGAGTGCTAAAGAAATTTTGCAGAAGGCAGAAATGAAGACCTAGGTAAAAAGGTGAAGAGAAAGTATGGCTTTGTTCTGCTGTAACTGAGTGTAGTTTGTATTTGTTTAAAACTTGCATATACTGAGCTTTATACATTTCAACTACAGTAAAATAATATTTAAAAAGGGAGAAATAACACAGCAAGTTTTGTTTCAGTCACTTCAGGCCTGGTTTGTGACTGGATGAGGTGAGAAAAGGGAGTACCATCCTTGCTGCATCAGGAAATAGGGGTATGAGTGTCAGACCAGTAACTCCCCAAAAACCCTTTCCAGTTCTTATTTATCAGATGAGCAATCCAACATTGTTTGCATCTGACGAATAGTTGCTACCAGCAAGGTGATTATAAATGGCTGTTTATTCTCATACAATTAGGTTATTATAATTATCTTGTTCCTATACTGAAATTCAGATGGTATCTACTGTTTGAATTTTTGATGCTAAGAACTGTTTTGGGAGAGACTGTTACTGGGATTTTATTTATTTATTTTATGGGACTACACTTGTATTGTCTGGCTCATGGTACGTTTTACTCCAGTTTAAAGTTTCAAAGGTCTTAATAATCTTAGCCATAAATACTTGCAAATGTATTTATAAAAACTCAGAAAATAAGGTTTTGTACTTCTCATTTCACCTTACTTTTTCTCTACTGTTTAAGAGTATTTTGTGGGTTACTCAAATTAGTATATCTGTCACTGCAAATTGCAGGGCATGGAAAAGGGTTAGTTTTACAGTTTGGGACATTTTTTGTTCAGTCATGAACCGACAGCAAGGACATCTCCCAGGACAATGGCACCCTGGACATATGTGAGATCTAGCTCAAGACATGATGAGGAGATAAACTTATAAGGATCTGACAAATTATGATTTTTTTTTTTCTTTACTAAGAGATATTAATGAATCATTCAGGAGTTTTAGGGTTAGGCTTTTGTGAGAGTATGAGATTTCAAAATGATATATTTTAGTCATTTCTTAAGCAATAACAAGTAAAATTATAGAAAAACCTTGGCCCATCTGACATTATTTTATAGCTCCAAAATATTCTGGAATAAAAATATCCTTACTAATTTTATCTTAAGGTGCTAAATCATGGTTCCTTTCAATTATTTGCTTTAGAAAAGCATGCATAAACTGATTTCTGGTTCTGTGAAAGAGAAGAAATTGGTCAGATTTTAATTTCATTATATAAATGGCTTACCTATTACTGAACAGTGTCAATAATGGAGTTTTTTTTAAATAATGTCTCTTTAACACTTGTTTTGATGTCATAGGCTCAGGTAAGATCAGTATACTTCTCTCTTTTACAAATTCTCTCAAGTTATCCACAAATACTCTAAGCAAAATTTCCCAATCCTCACATGAGATTTCGCTATCCATAATACACTAAAAGAATGGTCACTATTAATTTATGCAATAAATTATTTCAGTCCTACTGCATGAGGGAGCCATCCTAAAGGAATATCCTCCATCAAAGTTCTTAAGGCAGAGATACCAAAATGAGTCTGTAGCCAAACGAGACATCTTTATTCTGTACTCTTTCATGCTGGTTCTTCTTGGATTTTCTTTCTTAAACAGTAAAATAACTGTGTTCAGTAACTTCAGTTACTGAGTTTATCTGCAATGGAGGTGTTGTCCATAATTTGATAAGGTTCTCCCTGGGTTAAAAGAGGAGGACTTACTTTGGCAAGAGGATTATATCAATTCACGTTTGCAAAGGTTAATTTCATGTGGAGAAGAACCACAAAAATGATTGCTATCTAAGCCTTTAGATGAGTCACAATGATTCTTTTTCCTTCCCTACTGGCTTATGGATTTCTATGCAATTAAAAGCCAGACACTCTGAACTAAGTCAAACTGAATCAGTTATATAATAAGTCTGCTATTACAGGCTCTGTGTTCCGGGATCTGGCCCAAAGTCTTTAGATAAAAACCTGGTGCTGGAACTTCCTTTGTATAAGGCAGGAACAAGCACTGGAGTGCCCAATTTGGAAAAACATTTTAGTTTCTAAGTGCAGAGATAAAGTCTTCATGTTTTTTTTCTTCCTCAGACAGAATGAAAAAAATTCAGCAAGAGTGAAAAAAGAAAATTGAAAGCTGCTACTCAATAGATGCAATCACTGATTAAGATAACTGACACATATCATGTGGACTCACCAATGACTTGAAAGCTGCTGGAATTTTCAGGTTTTAAAAAAATGTGAATTTTTAAATTAAAATGTTTTGATATTGTTGTTACTGCTGCTATTTTTATTTTGGGCTTTCTGTCCAAACTCCAAACACCTGTCTTTTAATACTGTAAATTTATTAACATATTACTGATCTGGAGACCAATACTATATTGTGACAAGGTGCCTTTAAAGAATATATATATTCATATGCCATTTGTCCCTGAAAGCCAGCAGACAGAAAGACTACTGTGAAGAAAATACATACCTCTCAGATAAGTAATTTCAAAAGTACTGCAGCTGTGGTTTTGTAGCTTCAACTCAGTTGCTTTCCTAGGAGAAAAATATTTATATGGATAGAGGAATTAGCATTAAGGAAAGGATACTCTCACTAAATTTCAGATAACCTGAAGAGCAACCACTAAACCTTTCAGTAGTGCTAGGTACAAGAGCAGCAGTACCAACTAGCAGATAAATAAGAATGTTCTGAAGATAGGATGTAAGGAGCAGGATTATCCAGTTGGGTTCTTGCAGGCACTAAATGCATCAGAGAAATCCCTTCCTACACTGAAAATAGGTTGAGATCTTGTGCATTTTGAGTTTGCAGAGTCTTGTGTTCTCACAGGAGAATAAGATATTTCAGGTCAGGAGGAACATGTGGTCACTTATTCCACCTCCCTACTCCTGTCTTTTTGATTCATTTTAATTTTCTTTCTAAGTTATTAGATAAGGATTTGGCTTTTTGCTTGCCTCAAGTAAATTTGGTTTTTTCTTTAAGCTGCTGCCACTGTGCAAAGATGGAACAGTAAGAGGCAGGGCACAGAGTACAGTTCCTGTCCACATAGGGAGACGTGAGACTAATCAGTGTTAAACTCTTGTAGCTGTTGCTGGGGCATATAATGCACAGGCTAATTTCATAGAATCATCCATCTCACAGCATCATTTATTTCCAACAGAACTCATGGAATCTCTTCTGTATGCTGTATGCTTCAGCTAAGATGGCAAAGAGGAATAACTTTGAGAAAGTATTGCAATAATTGTTCATTCCCTGGCTTTTAGAAGTGTGTGATTGCCCAAGCTCATCTGGTTGTTTTTTTTTTTTTAATCTTCTTTTATTGATCATAGACATTTATACTACTTATTTTTTACTACGTAGCCCCTTTTAAATTAAGCCAAATTTTATTCAGTGTCTAAAGTTGTGTTAGCACTTCACTCAGCAATGAGAAAGTTGTGCTAAGTGACTATGCATGAGATAAAAACACTCTGTTTTTATCAGCTTTAGATTTGCGACTCCTCTTTTCCCAGGATGACCTATTTATTACAATATAAAAGCTCAGCTCTTAGAGTGCACGATTCACAGTGTGATTTCTGACTGTTTTATATACCCCTATCCCACGTCCTCTTACTCATCAGCTTTACAAAACCAAGCAGTGACATCCTGACCTTATTAGACACAGTGGGAGTTTTGACATTGCCTTCAATAACACCGGGATTTCATCTAGGATCTTTGTAGCCTTTAAATGAAAGAGCCTTTGGTCTTTCCTTTTTGAGGGGGAGGAAGAGCACCGAGACACAGGGTGAGAGTGGTTATGATTTAACTAGATGTATCTCTTCTATCGTGAGACAAAGCAGTCAGTAAAATCAGACAGGGCCTAAACGTGAAGTACTCGGAATTTACTTGGATGGGAATACATTGGCTGGAATCTGCATAAAAATTTCTTTTGCCAGGACCTATAAAGACCTGGATTTAAGAAACCACATTGACTCATTTGGCTTGCCAGCTTATTTATAATTCTAGTCTCTATTAAAGAAAAGCCAGGTCTGGTTAATCAAAGTTTTAAATTAATCAGAGGTGAAACACAGTTATCCAGAGTTTTAATTTTAGAATGAAATTAAAACATTTTCCCTATTCATTCCTTTATGCCCCATGACTGATACTTTATTTCCTCCCTGTGAGCAGGAGTATAAGGAGTGGGAACCTGTCTCCTGCTGGGTTGCTGTTAGAGAGTTTTCTAATATCTCTCACAATATTTTGTGTACTGGACCCCAATGCAGAGGCAGCAAAATGCATATAGGGTTTCAGAGCAGGAAGTGCAAACCTAAGAAGAGCCAGCAGTGCTGGCTGCATGCACAGGACACAAGACTTGGCCAGTACAACCATATTCCTAAAATTGATGTCATTACCAGGATCACACTTTAAAACACCCTGCTGGAGCATGCTAACAGGACAACTACTCCATTGCCAGTATGCTGATAGAAAATTGCTGCTTGGTCAGACCTATGACTGATTCCTTATTTTCACTCCCTTTTCAGTTTGTAAGTCTGTTAAAAAATACACTGAGACTGAACAGCAGGGCTTTATTGCTGAGCTGATGCACAGAAGTCACATCTGATGGTATTAAAGAAGTGTCAAAATTGAGCCTTAGAATTAACGCAGCAAAACATGTTTTCAATATTTCTTCCCTCAATTCCTGAAACACAGTCAGGGGAGTTATATATTGACTGATTAAAAAATGAGCAGCCTTCAGCATGAGGTAAGCAAGGTGCCAGAGGCTCCGTGAGCTGAGTAGGTTGGTCTCTATTGCTTCATCTGTTTTGCTAAATTATATTGCTCTGTGACTCTATCAGCCATCCCATGCTCTCACCTCTCTATTCCATTCCATTCCATTCCATTCCATTCCATTCCATTCCATTCCATTCCATTCCATTCCATTCCATTCCATTCCATTCCATTCCATTCCATTCCATTCCATTCCTTTTCACAATTGTCTTTCCTCAACCACAGACATACATGTAATATATATATATATAAATACCTCACCAACTTTATTAAACTTAGCTCTATACAATGCCTCTGAAATACTAAGGGTTTCCTTATGTTATAGATAGAAATGGAAGTTCACATACAGCAGGGGTTTTTTTGCTTCCCTTGAGAGCCAGGACAGCAATGTGCCAGAATAGAATCAATTGCCAGTGACTGAAAAAGTAACCAGATAAGATATATAAAATTGAGGGAATGGGGTTTTGATTTTGGGGTTGCTTGTTTTTGAATGACTGTTCAGACTGTTATGATCTTTCTCTTACAATGAGGTCAATTTTCCCTGCTCCAGTGGAGATACCACTCTGTTCTGAATGCCAGTCCTATGAACAGCTGTTAGAGCTGCTCTGGCAGCAGCTGAAACTGGTGACCTGGTGGGCCATGGTGGAGAGCCCCTTCTCACAGCTGCACAGCAGGATGAGGGCTGGGATCTGGGCATCCAGATCTCCCTCCTGACCCCTCACTCCTGTCAGCAAAGGCAATACCCTAGTGACCAGAAACAGACCTTCTGGTGGTTGTTGGTTAAAAAGTTCAGCAGTTTTGTTTGACCAGAGAAGTCATCATTTTTGTCTCATCTAGGTACCTTCAGGGTCCAGTAGCAGTCAAAAAAGACATTTTCAGGATCAGTTTTGGAGCCTAACTCCAAATTCAGCTGAAATCCTGTACTAATTTTGGTCTCTTGATTAATTGATTCTTTTCTGTGATGTGGAGAAAAGTCTTCACTCAGCCTTTACAGTTTGGGAAGACACAAGGAAATTGCCACAGATTATAAGGGCTTGTGGCAAAGCCCTACAGTTAGTTAGAAGGCTTTTTATTGATTGAGTAAACTAAGTTCAATTACTTATGCTTTAGTGACTTTTAATAACAATTCCGCTCTTTCCCCTAATAGTTTCTTGATTAACATTTCTTGTAAAATTGAGATGTTGCCTTTAGAGCTTATAACAAACTAATGCTTTTTAACTCCCTGCAGTGCATGGACAGCTTCTATATCCAGATTTCCCTATCAGGATTCAGGCACTAACACTTCACAATACCTTGTTACCTTGCTTTCCTGGAGTGGAAGCATGTAGGCTTTTTACAGGAAGATGGGCATATTTCATCCTTCTTGTTGGGGTCCCTGGGTAAAGAAGAGAAGAGTGCGCAGGGGCCTACAGCAAGCCTCAAGAAGTTTCTGGAGTCAGACATCTTTACTCCCAACTGCAGATCCTGTTCAAGAGAGTTAAAAGTGAGTAGCAGTGATAACAGGAGGAGGAAGCAGGCAACAAGGAGCCCTGATCCTCTCCTTGGGATATATTTCATATTAGCAGTGGATGAGAAGCAAGAAACAGTAATGACTTTGGAAGTTTGACCTGTATGTGAGACTCAGCCTTACCATCTTAAAGATTTAACCACTAATTCACTGATTCGTATTCCTTGCTTGTTTTTCCTCTGTCTTAAGTGTGCTTTTGAGTCTGGCACTTAGATATATAAGACATATTTAGTAATATAACAGCTCTCTGAGGGGCTCAAAATTATAATTGTTTTGACCTATCCCACACTGATGGTAGTAGTAATTCAGAAATCACTCCAATGAATGGCTGCAGTAATTTGTACCTGCTGTGCATAGCCCTTATCTTTGACCTTGGCATCAATGAAGCATGGCAGATCCCACAGGTTTTAAGACATAGATTAGCTCATTTGAAATTATTACTTCAGTGACCTCTATTTCCAACAATGGAGCATATTTTCTCTATGCTATAACATCAATGGATGTTCTAGATTGTACTCTTCATCAGTTACAAGCAGCTCTTCTATGCATTTTACTTGGTTATATTCTGTTATTGGTTATGACATAAAAATTTGCCATCACATCTGCTATGTTATTTAATGCCTTTGTTCTTATTTTGCAATGAGGGGTTAAAAACACAATCAGACCGCAGTTGCTTGTTTACACCATTTTGCACTCAAAACCAAAATGTAGTGCATTTATTTTAATGCATTTGTAATAAAGAAACATTAATCATCCTTCTAATATCAGACTTTATTTGTATAATTTAAAATTAAAGAGAAGTCCTAAAGGTATTTTCCATAAGTTTAGAGACTAAAACATCTCTCAGAAAACAAAATTAAAATACATTGTATTTGTAAAAGCTACTTTTTGGGGGGGAATTTTGATGCAAATTATCTCAGTCAGACCTTTCATAATCAGAAAAAACCCAGAGCAATTATACTCTTTGTAAAGAGGTGATGTCTCTTATGCCATGATTTATAACTGGTATAACTGATAAAGAGACCAGTTTTCTAGCTGAGAGTAAATCATGGTTAATGGCTATCCATTTCAGTTATTACACATTTGTTGGGTATTCTTGTAATTTGGTTTTCTGTATTTTCAGAAATTAAATCTTATGCATAGGGATTTGAACTGTTGACTAGAATATTATTTCTAGCACTATTTGGTCTAAAAAAAAAATATAACACTGTGGATCAGGATTCATAATTTTCTGAAAATAAATTATTCTCCCCCTCCAGCCCCATATACAATGCAAACTTTCATTAAAACACTTCTAGTGGGGTTCATGATGTTACACACGTGCTTACTAGTCTGCCCATAGCTCCTTTACAGTACTTTTGAGGACACTCATTTAATTTTTTTCTGTGTATTGATCCTGAAACACATGAAGCAAACATTCAAGTTTGCAAAGACTCTAAGAGGAAGAAGCAAATTGGTTGGGTACTGCTGTATTGTCAAAATGCCTTCTGTCTAACAGGAGAATCCTCAGACTGTATCCTGACCCATGTTTCACACAATTTGTCTTCTTTTATTCCTGCCAAGAAAAAATGTTGGGAAGATCATCTGGTGTGATAGAAGTGTCCTATAAAACTGATCAAGTGGGAGAACTTGAATGATTGTAGGTTAATGAGATAATAGGTTAATGAGTTTCAAGGAAGACCAGGAGCTTATCAACATAATGAACAGGCAAGTCTCTAGTCAAGGGGGAATTGGTTAGGTAGGAAAAGGTGCAACAGAATCAGCAAGATTTTAGATGCATCTACACTGTAAAGAGAACTATAGCAAAGTAACAAGGACAAAAACACGTATATGCAACACATATAAGAATGTAAGCAACATTATTTCAGCACCAAGACTCAACTAATCATTTCTATAACATCAATTCTGGGGATAATGCCACTTAAGAAGTTTGGGGTAGAATTTTATATAGCAAGTTATATGCACTTTCACTGAAACCAAAATATAATGACATTTAGACTCATTAAATCTCTACACAATAATAGAAGGGAAAAAAACCAAGAATATTTCCATCAGGCATGGTCTATGGCTAGCTTCTAAATTAACAAGATCAAGTGGAAGAAGCTTTTAGGGGAAAAAAGAGGGAAAAGTGTTTAAGTGTTAGCAGCATCATTTGACAGACAGGCTTTGATGTTAATGGCAGGTTTCTAACTTCTGATTCACTGAAGAAAGAGAGTAAGACTATACAACAGGCAAGCAGGACATGTCTTTAGATCCAGGAAGTTAAGACATAGCCAAAGAATAATGTTTTCTTCAGTTTTGAACAATTTTGGAAAACTGGCAATATGGCAGACATTAATCATGACATTATGCAGTGTTTCATTCCTAGAGAAAAAGGGAGACCAAACAATAGGAGAGGCCTAAAAGCTTCTGCAATAGTTGTAACTTCAATTTTCAAAGAAAGAAAAACTTGAAAATTTTGTCATCTAGAAGACACCAAACTGATAAGTAATAATGTCAAAAAGAAATCCTGATGAACCAACTGAATTTTTTAACATGAGAGCAAACCTGAGAGTTGGGTGAAAGCAGGTATTTTGAATTGGACTTTTGACTCTGTCCAATAAGATATTCACTTGGCTTCTCCCGAAAGCACACTCTCGATTAGCTTCACACAAAATGGATACGTAATTGGAGAAAAAATATTTAATAGGCCAAAAGTTAAAGGATATAAGTACTATAGGGCAATTTTATGGTTGCATATTCTCCAACATTTTTACTTATTTAGGTTCCTGTTTTTCTAGGAATCTAAAAAAATACAATGCATTAAATGTGCAAGACGTGTGGTTGTGAGCTTACTGTAAGTGGAATATTAGAATGAAGGATCTTGACAGAAGAAACAAAAGCAAACAGCAACAATCAAAACAAAAGCAAAACTAAAAACAAATGAAAAATGACAAAACAAAGTGAAAATACCAAGACAAACAATAGGAGAAAAAACCTACAAAAATCCTGTCCTAGACAGGAAATAGTGGCAATCAAAATCAAGTATACCTAGCAGTCAATGGCATGTCGTATCAGTGCAAATAAGAATCTAAATAATTACTGTTTACAAAAAGATATTCAATTGTACTTAAATAATGTTACTGAAATACTAAAAGATAGAAACTGACTTGTTTAATATTAATCACAGAAAGTAATAATTCTGCTCTTCTCAGCACTATATGACCTCCCCAGGACTGCCATTTCCAATTTGGACATTACGCAATCAAAAAGATGAGCCTTTAAGAATTATTAGACAATAAATGTGGAAACATAAAAATGTGATTTGGCTTTTCAGGAGAAATCTGTGGGAAAAACATAATGGCAAGCTTAAAAACCTGCTGAAAAAGAAGGAAGGGGAAAAACTTTTTCCATGTCTACTGAGAATGAAACAAGTAGTATGGACTAGAATTGCAGCAGTGGAAGTGTACATCAGACAGGTGGAAAAATATCTAATGGGAGAGACAGGTAAGTACCAGAGTAAATTGCTTAGCAGTCATTACTGCATCTTCCTCTGCAGGCTTTAAGAACTTAACAGACATCTGTCAGGACTAGTTTAGATACAGCCAGTCTTGCCTCAAACTGGGAAGTAAAAATGAGATGGACTTTCTGATTCCCATCTCATTTCCTGTGATTCTGAGAAAAATTCTAAAAAAAAAAAAAAAAAAGACTACAGGTTAAAAACACTAGGCTACATTGGATAACTTGTGTCAGTGTCATCAGAGAAACTACTTGTTTCCTGCTAAAATATGTGTGCTTTATTGATATCTTACGCATATTTTAAAATTCAGCATTAATTTCTTGGTCTACAGCATATATTCCAAACTCCTCAGTTCTGTCCCTTTAGCACAACCCAGTTTGTGGTCCTGAAAGTTTGATAACATTTCTCATGCAATACAGTACAGGGCTTGTACAGTGTAACTAGTCAATCATACTGTCATCCCAAATGTTTTCAAAAAGACTTTTACTTGAATTAAATATCCTTGAGGTCTAAAGCGATATTCTCTATTATTGTGAGCCCCACTTGAACTTCTTCCTGTGCTGGACTAAGGCCATCCGTGACTTCCTGGGTTTGACATCATATTTTGCTTTTTTTTTTTTTTTTTACTGGAAGTACACATAGGCTGGAATGAGCTGTAAATTCTGGTTGCCTAATGGATCTCTATTCTACTAAGAATTATGGTCTCTCAGCTGGAAACATATTGTTTTGTTATCTCAATAGCACGCAGGCAGTTATTGCTTTTTGACTGTGAATTCTGTTTCTGTACCTCTAATGTGCTTGTCTTCATGGCAATTTCATTACAGAAACAAGAGCTTCACATTGTTTTGATTTTTAATTAGAAAGAATAGTGTTCCATATTTGTTCAAAAGCTCTAGACTATTACTCATTGGCATAATTTGACTCATGTTCCATGCTGCAGAAAATGGCATAATCTAAGCCAGCTAAATTTTACCTCTCATGTTTCATTCAAAAGAATAATCCAGCCTTCATAGGTGTAAAAAGAAAACAGTGCTCAGGATGAATGTATGTGTTTCTCCTATCCACGGGAAATGCTTAATTTAAGATCACTTAGCAATCCCATATGCTTTTTTTCAACATTCTTTATGGATCCAGTAATAATGCCTAATGCAGCATTTCAGTACAGGTGCATTAGGAAGAAACATGAGAAACAGTATATACCCAGTGATAGTATATACCCAGTGATTCCTCTAAGTATTCTTTCTTCTCTTATTAATTTTATTAATTATATTTCTATTCAGAAATATTTTTTATATAATTGATTGTCAAATACACCTTTTATAAAGAAGATAAGTGTTACTAAGCAGTGATTAGGGGAATGCCCCATGAAAACATTTATTTTTTATATTACTCACTACTGGAAAGGAAAGGAATATTGTCTGCATTAAAGTCAAATTTCTCAGTGTAAGAAGAA